GTCCCATCTCTGGAAGTGTTCAAGGCCAGTTTGGATGAGGCTTTGAGCAGCCTGGTGTAGTGGAAGGTGTCCCTGCTCATGGCAGGGGGGTTGGAACTAAATGATCTTTAAGGTCACTTCCAATACAAACCATGCTATGATTTTATGATTCTAAAGTCAAATTTGAGAGAAAGTGGAGTAGAAACACTGGATGTTGCGTGACTCGACAAAATTAGGAAGTTTTGAGTGGTCAGCTAAGCATGTACTCAAATCATGTGCAAATGGACAAATATTTTCCTCTATCAGCACACTATTAAAGATGTTTTATACTATAAAATTAGTTGCTAAATCAGCTCTTGAGATATCTCTACATTTCTTGACATCACTGCATGTGAAACTAAACCATAAGATTAATGTGTATTTAATTTCTTATGGAAAAAGTGAATAATGCAGAAAAAAAGAACATAAAAGACATACTTAAAAATATATCAAATCTATAGAAGTCAAAGCAAACTTCCCACTTGAAGCAGAAGTACTATAGGAATAAACTAATAGGACAGTGCAACAATTAAAATTCTTAACACGCTAAACAAGAAATACCTGGAACTAAAATGTCTCCAAATCCTAGGAGTGAAAAAGGCCTGTCACACAGAGCCAAGGGTGAGGAGTTCAGTCGTGGAACCTTCAGGACCATTGGGAGCTTGGGATGAGAGAGACATATGCCTTATGAAAAGCTGTTTTCTCTACATACTGACACCATCTCCCAGAACTTGTTCCTGTTGTACTGAAACTGCAGACTTCAAATAGAGCAAATGTTCAGGTTGGTTTTCTTTCACATTATAGATCCTTATGTTTAAATGTTTTATTAATATTACTGACAACTAACAAAATGTATTTAAGATAGGAATGATGAAACACTTGCTAAAAACCAACAGCCAAGACAATTCCACAGGACAGACATCTGAAAACATTATTCATTTCAAAGTCCTCATGTGCAATAGGGTATCAACTCTGCTTTAACTGCAGGAATGTAAAAAATCTAGGTAAGTTGCCACACGCATATGAAAACCATTTCATTCCACTGCTTGCAATAAAAGTCTTGAAAGAGTAAAGACTTGAATAATTTTAAAAAGTCATTTTTCAAATCACTTTAAAGACTTTTTTTTCTTCAAGTGTTTCTATTCATTATGTAATTTGCAATGTTGAGGCACAGTATGGCAAGGTTCACTGCAAAAATGTATTCTCTTCAATACAGTACATTAAAGAAACTTTATTTTCTTTTCTCATGTTAGTGCCAGAATAATTTTATCTACTTATACCATCATTATTGTTTTATACAATTCATTCTGGGCATAAAACAGACTACAGGGTACTAAGAGAGTAAAAGAGACAAGAAAGTAAGAAGTTAAAGAAATTAGTATAGATTGATCCACTCATAGTTCACCCTGCAAAAACTGTTTTCTTTGCTATTTTCACATGTGACTATTACATTCATTGCTGAAAAGAGAACCAACATCCTTAAATTAACAAAATTGGTTTTCCTACAGATTCATTTCTTATTTGTTTTGCACACTGTATTTTACTATCTCCTACATGTCACATACTTTCCTCCCCAAGTCAGCCACATGTTGCACAGCTCCATGCACACAGCTTGCTGCTGGCAAACAGTACAGAACGACCAAATACTGACTTCTGTTTTCTTTCTGCCTCCAATTCTGTTTCTCTCCTTTGCCTATAGCCTCAGCTTTTAAAGAATAAATTGCATCAAGCAATTATGAAAACAAGGGAAGAGGGGGAAGAGACAGACTGATCATGTAAGTTTTATCTCTCTAGGTAAAAATGGATATGCTTCTTTAGTGGTAACTTGTATTTATAAATGTGACCCAGTGTTTTTGTGAAGCTGAGCTAACCAGCTTCCTTATACTGAAACCCTTTTAAAGCAAGATAAAGGAAGAGCAAAGCTGTTGTGACAAACCACTAAAAGTCTGCTTTGCCCCCTATGTTTGGTGTAGATTTCCAGAGAGCTCAGGAGTGCTCATTTCCACATTAAATTATTTTCAGACTGGCATCTCCATTTCAGCTTTGCAGTCTTTGAATTTTAGAGAAGTTGAAAGTGCAATAGCTGGAAGTCAGTGCCCTATTTTCAGGCTACATACAGTACCTTTTCATGAGTGGCAGAATCAGATGGGCCTGCAGCCACCTCCACCATTATACTCTCCCCAGTCTAAAGAAAAACCAAGAAAATTGCAAATCAGGACGTTACTCAGCAGGTCTGGGATCATTTAGGAACACACAGAGAAACATGTCATTTTTGCTTTGTGAGCAGCAGGCACTAGAAATACTTTACTTACCTTTGTTAGAAAAGGTGTGATAAATACGAAGAACACATCATACACAAAGAGAACCAGGAGGAGCAAGGTACAACCCTGAAGGAAGAGACAAGATACTTGGTATTTACATACTGTGCATTAGGAAATACTGAAGAATTAATAATTAGCAACTTAAGACTATTCAAGGCAAAAGCTAGCAAGGACTAAAACAAATCATCCATATATTTTTCTTCCTTCCTAAATATTTCAGATGGAGGAATTAGGTCTTGCATGCACCATATAGAAGAAAGTAATTCTTAGATACAAAATTACATGTTACTCCCTTAAATTCTTTAACATGTAAAATCTGGAAATGGAGACATTTCAATTTGTTAGGAAATATTAAGAAGTTTTTAATTTCCTCTGGAAGATGCTAGGCATAGCTTGAAACAGTATCCACATTACTTTGGCCAACCTGTACAGGGAAACAAATTTATAGGTGACGGTAACTTGAAGCAGAGTTTGAATAGCTGCCTAAGGGGCAATTAAATGACTAATACTGATTTTTATCTTAGGACACTAAGTAAATTCCGGAAGATTTGAAAAAAACACCAGAATGATGCATCAATTCTGTGTCAAATTTGGGGATAAAAACACACCCACAAAAACACAAACCCAAAAAACCCCACAAGTGAGTGTATGGTGTGTGATTTACTAGTCAACACTCTACAGAACTTTAAGTTACCAAACACCAGACATAACAATCACAGGCCACTTGCTGGTCGACATTATACTCATTACATCACACTTTTCCAAGCTACATATGAACGGAAGTGCATTTCCAAGCCCATGTACTCTATAAAGTGGCTCCTCTGTTCAACTATACACAGGCAAACATCTTTTTACATCTGTAACTTTCATACCTTAAACGTAGGCAGGCGAATTGTTTTCAACATGTAAAGACAGAAAGCGATTCCTAAAGCATCTTGCAGAACCCAGGCCCACCTAAAGAAAGAGGAAAGTAATATTTTTGCAGGAAACACTAGAAAAGCCAGACCAAGCCCTGTCCTCACTAAGGACCTGCTTGGGACAAAAACTTTAATAAAAGTACTTGCTTGAAATAAACATTGTTGTCAGCAAAAAAAATTGCAAATGGGAAGTTGTGGTTGATCAACCTGATAACGTTCTACAACAAAATGACTGGTTTGGTAGATGAGAGAAGAGCAGTGGGGATTACTGTCTACCTAGACTTCAGTAAGGCTTTCCACTGAGAATCTCCAATAAGATCCTCATAGAGAAACTGATGAAGTATAGGCTGGATGATGAGACAGTGAGGTGGATTGAAAACCGGCTGAAGGAGGTCAGTGGGTACCAAATAGGAAGTGCTGGGATGCTTTGGCCTATGTATATATGTACACCCGTGTGTGCTAACGTAAGCTTATAGTTGAGGCTGTTTCTTGATTGTGTTTTGCAAGTTATGTATAGAACTACCAAGGCTCTTTGCTTTCTTTATTCTCGATTGCTAGGATCAAAGAGGAGTAGGATATGAGAGTAGGAAACACCAAGGTTTCCCTAAAATGGCTAAAGTCTAGATGCAGATGAGAGACTACGCTGCTGTGATCAATACCTGAGCACTTACTGATGGAGCTTTGTGCAGGAGACACTCAGGGACCTTCAGCTTTGAGGCAGAAAATAGATTTTCTAGTCCTAAACATCCCAAGCTGGAATAGCTTTATAGTACTTGTGTACTCAGCCTGACACTTATTTCTCTAAAAGGTGTTTCACAGTTGATGCTTCCTGGATTTATGAGTTCTGTCAGAGAATGATCCACAGCCTTAACACAGAAAATAGAGTGTCCCCCCAAAGGCAGTAACAGGCATTCAAGGCACAAGCAAGACATCTTTGGTACCATCAGTAGATATACAAGATAGCATTTCAGTTCCAACACAGAATCCCTGATGGAGAGACTAAGATGATGAACAAATCATGTACATATGGGGAACTTGAAGCACCCGGGAGTTAGGTAAGGGGTTAAAAAAACCCCAACAAATCACTCTAACAAAAGTGGTAAGAACACGTTATAATTAGGTACTGCAGCAATACTGGACATAGAGAATTATTTACTCATACCAGACAGTTGAAAGAAACTAAAGATCTGACAATCTTCACAGCTCTTATTCTCTCTGAGCAAATGCACATGCAGACCATCACTTGAAGAAAAAACTCAGACAACTTGTGTCCAACTTTTCATACCACTTCTCAAAAGCCGTCTTAAGTCAAAGAGATCAGAACACGGACTGGAACTCAGAGAAACTCAAGCTTAACAAAAGACAGTTTCCTGTAACTTAAACCAACAAGATAAATACGAAGTACATCAGGAAAAACTAATAATTTCTGCCCAAGTCTCTGGCTTCTTTCTTGTCACTCCTAAACTCTGGGTAAGTTTAGGCTTCTATGGATGTCAGTTACTCATACTATAAAGCATACTATAATTTCTAGTACAGAAACTAAAATACACACTTACTGATCTTCGTTTCTGAAGATTCCCCAGACTACGCTGACAGAGATGCAAAACACTGCCAACAGCAACATCCGGACCTGTGGACGCTTGTGAAAATAAGGCAAGTTGTTGTCTGGGATTCTGAAAATGAAACACACCATAGCTACAGTTGTTTACATAGTTAACCCTCCTCCTTTATCAACATTCTGAAGCACAAAACGACCTTGTAAATCCCACACTCACCCAACATTACAAAAAACTAATTTTGCCTATTAAAAGTTCGGAAGTTGTCACATACCTACACTTTCCCAAGGGGAATCTTCTTACAAAGGGAGACAGGCAACTGTAAAGACCAATTGAGGCAGCCAGGCAGAATATTCCTATGATAACATAGACTGAGAAAGAAAAAGTAGTAAGTCCAAGTGCTGAATAAAGAACAGACACTCAAAAAGCCTGAATGAGAAATAAAGCTTACATTTCACCAGTGAAAGTTAAATTCAGAGACTTCAAATGATTGTTAATTAGATTTATGCTCTTTAAGTATCTAATTCTAGCTCATTTTACTCAGGTGTACTTTATGCAATAGCTACATCAATAAACCAAAACCTCTGTGTTAATATTCTTAAAGTCATTAAATCATAAGCCTACAAGGTAATTTACGGTGAAGTATTTATCTTCTCATTACGAGTATACGTGAGCATTATAAGAGAACTCTAAAAACCACTCAGCAGCAAAATGAATTAACACAGATGGGATGCATTTTCATAACTTCCTCAGAAGTATGAGGATGGAGGTTCCGGTGCATTAGGTTCTCATGTCTTTTTGTCAATCAGTTTGATTAGTGATCAGTAGAAACTTACCACCTTTACAAAGGTAAAAAAATTGATCCTGGATCTCATAACTTAGCTTAAAATTGAACAATAACAAAAAGACAAGTATAGGTTTGAGAACACCTTTGACAAAAATAAAAGGAGGAAGATGTTAAGCCTGTATCTACCTAATAGGCTTTAACGTTGGAAAAAAAGCTCTATGATCATCTAATCCAACCTGACTAAAAGTAGGTATAGAAATCTACTCAGTGGGTTTTTTTAATAGGGTTTTAAACCATATTGGGATGAAGAAACATGGCAGAAGACAGCTGTTTCATAATTATTTTCACAGTAAAAATGTCCTTTAAAAGATGGCAGCCTTGTGGCATTGAAGATGCATCAATATAAATACAACTTTAAGAGTACCTAAGTGGTCATAGAAGAAATAAAGGAGGACCAGCATTGAGCAGCACATCACTACAAACACACAGATCATTATTGGAGTCACATCAACTGTTTCATCATCATGTTTCTCTGCCCCATCATCGCGTTTGTGCTTCATGTACCGCCTGAAAGAGTAACATGGCTACAATCAGTCCATTCCTTCTGCAACAAAATATAAAAGGGCACTGTATCTTCAGCAAGAACTACGTCAGGTTGGAAAACATGACACGACACCAATGCTTGCGCTGACTTCCACTCAAGTCAGGGGAATTCCACATTTTACATGGATGTATGAACACCAAATATAACACAATGCATAAAACAGTAATTGCAGCATTAGTTTATCAAAAGTACTATTTTTCATTCACTAAGAACTCAACAGAATCCTGAAAATTACCATAGAATAATTTGCTGAATTCAGTCAGGTTGCACATATAAAGTAAATGTTAGAAATAAATGAGCAGAAATTAGAAATAAACAGATGACCTCCTCACCCAACTCCTCTTATTGGAAAAAAGTAACCATAAAATTTCAATTAAAGATTCACAATAAACACAGTATAGGTTAGGCATCTAATCAGTTTGTTTTGCACTATACTAGTGAAAACATATTTTTTTTTTTTACAAAAGATTTTTATGGTGAGCTTTTGCAAAAGCCCAAATAGGAAGCCTATTACTATCCGATTTTCCTTCTGAGCTTTTCAAATGTTTGGCTTTTTGACAAGGCAGAATACTAGGACACTCTATATGTGAATTATACTCTAATAATTTCATACCGTGACAAAGCCAATACAAGGCTCAGGGCCTTTCAAATATCACATCAGCATTTTCCCATTCTGGTTATACACACAGTCTCCAAACCTCATTAGCAGAGCTACCCGGGGATGTTTAGATAAACATCATATTTTTTTTTTTTTCTGTGAGAAATATAAGAACACTGACATACTACATTCCAGTTACTCACTTTTTCACATCTCTGCTTCCTGCCCAGTAGCCTCCAATCGCAACAGTCCCCACAGCCATGACAAATATAATCACCATGTTATAGTCCAGCACAGGCTCATTTGGTGCATACATTGCCCCTTTCACTGAGCTGCCGAAACTCTGCGGAGGTAAGTACAAGTTATGAAGAACTTCCAAAAAGCTGCCTTAGCAAAGGGTCAGTTATTCAGTTTTCACTGATCAACCTCAGAATCAAGCTTTATTGTAAATACTTAAGAGCAATCTGTTTTCTCTACTGTGATATTTATTTCCAGCACTAGGTTCCATTTTGATTTTGTTCTGAAGATTAAAAATAACCTCCCAAGAGATTTACGGGTTTTTTTTTAAAAAAAAACAAAACATAATAATGCAATCTGCATGAGTATAGCTATCTATAGATTCAAAGCTCTTAAGACTTCAAATACTGTTGAGTAATGACTCATTTAAATGAGATAACATAAATCAGAGCATTTAGTATTGAGTTTACCTTGCCAATATCTAACATATCAGTATAGCTGAGCAGAGCCACAGGAATATCAATCTCTTCATATTGGCTCCTGTTACCCCCAGGAGGAACCTGAAAGACAGTTCAGACCAGGCAAGAATATACACATTTCTGCAAATACTTCTACTACTTCAAAAGGGTTAAAGTTGCAAGTTCTGTTTCTGTTAATTCAGAAAATATTCTACAAAGGAACAGCAAAACGACAGTAAAAACTCAAAGTCAAAATGTATGCCTGTTTCCAGTAAAACCAAGTCATTAAAGACTGTAACAGCAAAATGCAGCAACCAGACTTCAAGCAGTACCTTTTGCACATAAGGGTCATGGTTTTATGATGGAGGTGTGACTCTAGCATTGACTACAGTATTCAAAACTACTAATTTCACAAAATTTCCACTAGTGATGCTCCAGCTGAATCTAAAGCACTACCTTCACTGTGCTTTAGATCTCATTGAAGGTAGAAGTATGAGTGCAGAAACCAACCTCCTCCTCCAACTCCACTATTTCATGACGTAAGAATAATTCTGAGCCCTTGACCCCAATGTTACACGGGATCTATGCAGCACACTTCCTACTTAAATGAGCACCTCCTCTTGTTTCATTAATTCTTCCTTCAGATGTATTATTTCCACACATAGCTAAGCCATGTACGTACAGACATTAACACACACACACATATTATTTATCTTAAAGAGAAGCATCAAATACCAGCAATGAGCAGTGAAAACAAGACATCTAACATCAGAGGAGTATCGGCAATATAGAAAGACAAAGACTTACCAGTCTCTCTCTACTAACAATCAGCAGCCCACGAGCTCCATTTATCTGAGCAAGCCTCACTTTCTCATAGAAGGTGCAATTCCCTCGCATCACCATGGGGATTTGATTATTAAATCCCCCATCAGGTACATCAGAAGGAGAACACAAAACAGATGCTGTCTGATCCTGCAGTTGCAAGAGTGACTGAAAAGAAATAAACTAGTTAAATACATAAATATAAAATAAAATTATAAAAGAAGTCCAGAGCAGAAATGACAGAGTTTCTAAAGGGTAATTTAGAACTTTCAAGTAATGCAGTGATAGAGTATTCTCAGACGAACTTGAAAGCTGAAACAGTGCTGCCCTCTCTATTTTGTAGTGTCCTGTCTTGCTTCACCTTATTGTACAGAATTCTGCTGGTAAATTTCAGTTATGATCTGCACTTGCATTTGTTTTCTTCAGCACTGTTGCTGTCCTGATGCACACATCCAGGATGTAGGAGGAGTATAGCCAAGTGTTATAATTGCTAGGGTGGCACAGCGTGGCAGGCAGCGATGATGTAGGGTATGAACAGAGAGAAACAAAAGCTAGGGTAAAGTACAAAAGCACAGGCAACAAAAAACCAACCATTTTTAAATCAACCATATCCAGTTAGCTGAGATTTTGGATGCTAAGCACCTGGTTCTGGATTCTAAGCTGGTTCTCTCACTGCTTGTGATTCAGAGATGTTGCAGGCCTGCCCCAATTCCTTAGTTTTGGCCCTCCTCAGACCCAAAGACATCTACTCTGCTATGTTTACACACCAACGGCACAAAGACACCTCCAGGTTTTAGAAACAACACCAACACAAATTGTTCCTTGCAAAACCTTACCAACAACAAGCACCTTTGCCTAGTTCTATCTGTGTGTCATCTGACAAATGCAATTATCTACCAAATAATTGATTCCTGGTGTGAGCTGTGCTAACAGAAGGGGGATACAGCCCCACTCTTGCTAGGAGTTGAGCTGTTAGGTTTGAGAAGTGTCAGGGTAAAGTTTTAACCTGAAAAGCTGACACATGTAACACTTTGGATTAGAAATCCACAGGTACATGGTACAACACCAAATATCTGTGTAACTGACTCTACCGCTTCAAGAGGGAAGGGTAGGGGTCAAGCTGTCAGTAGCTCCAAGCTTATTCAGAAAACTGCTTTCTCCAGCCTGGCTCCTACTTCAGAGACAGTAAAATGTCTCTACGCACACCTCCTGGTTGCCCAGGTTTCAGGAAAGCTTCTCAGCTATCACAACACAAATGCAGAGTGAGCTCAGGCTGGTGCCCTGCATCACCTCTGTACTGCTGGAGTACTGGAGGGAAGGAGAAGGAGGGAGAATCTGAAAGAAGGCAAAGGCAGAGTGAAAGCTGAGGAAGGAAACAGGGCCGGGAGGGATATAGCATAGACAAACCAAGTGCTCTGTGAAGGCAGATCATAACCTGCTGAGTGCTTCTGTTCAGTGCAAGCTATTCTGGACTACACCAGCTTCTGCAGAGCTACTGAAACGTATCTCCAGGGAATTTTTGAGACTAGTTGAAACAAGATGTCTACAGTACAGTCCCCAGCACTCACAAATTCTAGAGTCTAGAATGCTGGAGACTGTGGAAAGTCTGTCTGGATCCAGCCTGGATCTAAGCCTCTCAGACCAGCTCCATGCACTTCTGTGTTCCTACTGCTGAAGCTGAAGGAAAGGGCTACAGCACCTACATGTGCTGGTTGCATCACACAGAGTCAGATCCAGTGCAAGAGTTTGTTAGCTGGGTCTACAGCAGACAAAGGCCGCTGCAGCATCTGAGCTATCTGTGTATCTAGGGAGTAACCTGCAGTTGCAATAAACCCATCATGGGGAAGGAAGACTTCATTATACATTGATAAGGAACATTAATAATTCTGTGTAGATTAAGGAATATAATGAATAAAATGAACAGAGTATCAGTCAACTACTCCACATCTTCCCCAATCAGTAGGATCATCCGAAGTGTATTTGTCAATTCCATCATACAGTGACAGTAACTTTTTCTCACAGAACAGAGCTTGTTGTCAGCTCATACGGCTTTAGACAGCAAAAGCTTGACAAAGTTTATGACTACTTATTCTTACACTTGACAGAACTATGAACCACTGAGAAAGCACTAAAGGTCTCAGTTGTGTATATTAGCAAGGCCACGTGGTATCTTTTTGTATCATACTGACATACAAAAACTCTTTTCCAACCACAAGTACGTACCATTTTCATTTTACTGATCATGTTGTGCAAAATGAATATTTTTGTTTTGAATCAGAAATAGTCATTACCTCTGCATGCTGCTTGGAAGAAAATATTGCTATCATAGCACTGCCCACAGTTGATCTTAAGAGATAAAAATATTTTCTAAGCAGAGCAAACAAAGTAGCTGCTTTAAATTCTACGAATCCAAGTTAAAAATTCGAAGTTTCCCTGTAACAAAGGCATTTTTTAATACATTCTTCTATCATTGCTTAGCTAGGTACTTACAGCTTTACTCAGATCATGTGGCAAATGGGCCCACTGAGAGTTGAAAAGGATACAGTAGTCTTTTCCTTTGCTGCTCCCCTTCTCTGAAAGGACATGTACCATCCCATACTCGCAGTACACCTGAAAATGTAACAAAAACTTCACTACGTGAATTTTAGGTCACATGAAATAGCAGAAGTGATGGGCGTAACTTGTTGTTGACTAGCCTGTTTTGCATTTAAAAAAACCCAAAAGATTCTACAAAGTTTCAGTGTCTGTACAGAGAGTACAGTGGAATCGGTCATTATTTCCATCATGCCTCAAAGACTTCAGATACATTAAGCAGATTCTTCCCTCCAAAGCAACCGGTCAAAGAATGAAATAGAACCTCACTGAGTGTTACTAGATGTGGCTGGTGCATGTAAGCATATAACCAGAGCAACAGAAAGAGGCTGGACTACTGCAGAACAGATGAGAGAGCTACAATAAGAGGCCTGGCCCCAACCAATTCCCAAAGTACAGCCTGAAGTAATGATCAATTCCACATTCACACTGCTCCAATACTTAGCCTTGGACTCCTTTGCTGTAGGTCTGGCAAGACCCCATAGCATCATCAGGTGTCCTTTTAAGTCCTAGGTGGCACACGTAGATTCTTCAGACTACATACTGCACGTACTTTTCACTGCTTCAATGACCAGCAGTCACCCCTGTCATAACTCCAATAATATTTGCTATGAGTCGTGAAGATTATGCACTGAGGAGTTGTAATTACAGACCTGTACTGCGTCTGGCTAGGATGGAGTTAATTTTCTTCATCACAGCTGGTATGGTGCTGTGGTTTAGATTTTTGACCAAAACAAATTGGCTTTTGGTTTCTTTCTTTCTTCTTCTTCTCCTCCTTTGCTTATTAAACAATTTTTATCTCAACCACAATTTTTCTGGCTTTTACTCTTCTTTTCTTCTTCCCTGTCTCACCAGGGGTGGGAGAGGAAGCAAGTGGGCAGCTGTATAATGCTTAGCTGCCTGCCAGCATTAACTCACCAGGTCACAGGCAGAACGTGACAGCTTCACTCCTGTTGTTTACAGCTAAAATCCCTTAACTCAAATAATGAATCATGAGCTTCGGCCACCTTTAACTTGACATTCAGCCTCTGGAACAGAGCAGAGTTGCAGTGGAAGGACCATCTGAACTCTGCACCTAAGCAAAGCCCAGGCTGCAGCCCTGAGCTGAAGAACTAGGAACACTAAACCCAAGCTGTGTGAGCACCTCACACACAGCTCATCACAGACTGGGTTTCAAACACAACTTGTCTGACCACTCTTCACTCAAAGCTCTCTCAAAACTATTACAAACTCCTCAAAAAGGCACAAAAACCATTCGAAGACTCCACACAAAGCCTGAGTCTTCACCTAACCAAGGTATGCTTGTGGTGTAAGTTATATCCAGCTGATATGCAGCCTGGCTTCAGGCTGGAGCTACATCAGCCTTCGCAGCAGCGGCTCCACACTGGGAGCAGCCCATGCTAGCAAGAGCAATCCTAGTCGGCTTAATCATGGAAATATCACAGCTCTCCTGAAGAACTCCAGGAAATTAAAGCAACAGAATCCAGATCCTGTAGGAATTTGGAGACAGAGAACAAGGACTGCAGACAAAAAAAAAAAGATAGTAACATGCAGCAAATACATCAGTTTAAGGCATCTCCTCAAAAAAGGGCGGAAGGAGGATCCGGGGAA